GCCAAACATTTGGTCACCAGCAGGTCTAAGAGTACTTACACTGACATTTGAAAGCCAAATGGACTGGTACCTATTTATTGCTTTTCTACTCTGAGTACTTAGTGTTTCTTTACTACATAAACACATCCAAACACTGCTTTTCACTGTTCCATTGCACCTTGTCCCACATTCACACTCACACTCTGATGGACACACCTAGGGCAACCTGAGGCTTAGTAAGTGCACCGATGATACTTCAACGTGTAATACGACTGCTAATAATAATAATCATAATAATAGTAACATGTAGATTGGAGAAGAACCAACCCTGCATATTAATGCATTCTTATGGACTGAATACTACACCATCAACCAAAAAATGTAAATGTCCAAGAGATGATGTAGTATTTTATAAACTGGTCACTACCTCAGGTTTTTCTCTTGACATTTCATGAGTCAAATTCTTCTGGGAAAGGAAACAAGATGACTTAGCTCAAATGTATTTTTATCTGTATTTTTACCACAATTTATTTCACTTATTTACTGTTATGGCTGGAGGGATGTCTGTTTTTTTAAATGGAGCTGCTGGATATTTACACGAAGATGAGTAAATTTGTGTTTGGTTGATTATTTCTTTGCCGTAAAAATGCTTCCTGGGAATAAATCTTGCTGTTATAAATATTGCTGTTAGTTCCCCTTAAACAGTGTCACATTTATAAGGATATTTATTGAAGATGATTAAAGTCTGAAGAAACAAGACAGTTGTTGGCAGTTTAATTAAATTAAGAAGATGCCATTTTTAGCTGCTAACGAGCTAGCTTGGGTCTTTAGTTGATTTCACAGGCAGTGTCGTGCTGTCAAAGCTGGTTTTTTATGTTTTTGGCCCAGACAGTAAAGTACATAACTAGTGTATGTCCTGCATGGGTTGCACGGGTATCACAATGAATTAGAAGGTGAGACCAAAACTCAATAAAACTAACGAAATCTCAGGTAGTTGCAATCTGTTACACGGTGTAACCGTGTAAGTATAAACTCAGAATAGGTCACCATGTTCGATTTTTACTGACAGCTCCAGGAATGAGTACACACAGCGCACACATCTGGTGTAAAGCTAGTGAAACGTGAGGACCAAGTCATCACATTTGTAGATTTTACATGTAAGTGATTAAAGAAGAAGCTCAACACAACGGTTAGCTTCTATTCTCAGGTATGGAAGGACAAGGCAGCTGATGTCTTGGCAGAAGATAACAGTATCTGAAGTATTGTCAGGTTCTTTATGAGAGAAGACAACATAAACTCAAAGTACACGTTTTAATTAGACAGTTAAAGGTGAGAGTTACTAACAGCACCGTGTCTCTTACTTCATTTAGCAAACCTAAACGAAGAAAGAGCACAACACCCAGGTAGTAAACAGTTCTATTATGCATTATAATAGAACTGCACTTGGTTTATCTTTCGCCCTGTATGGCACAAACTTCTCTCTGTAATAAGAAGACCACTCTTCCCACTTCACCATGGCAACTGTCTCCTGTCCTCCGGTCAGGCCTTTATAGATCAAGAGAGATGTAAAAATGGGAGAGGGAGAAGTCCCAAACAAAAAAAATAGTTTTCGTCTAGTTTTGAGCGAATCAAAACGAACGTAAATCATATCATTAAAGGTTAACTGCGATGAAAGCACATGTGTCAGTGAAGACCTCTCTGTCAGCTGCTTCTACCATGGCATCATGAATGGTTCATTTATCAGAGAAGATCATTTGTTTTTGCCTCTCTGTGAACCATCACCAAAACAATAATAAAAGGAGCAATGCATTACTGCAGTAAAAAATATTATGGTCACTTGTATCTGCTTACATACTTTAGAAGTTTTTTATGTGAAGTAAGGCAGGTGTTGTAGTGAGGTACTGGATGTGTATAAATAGTCCTGTCTAGGGATGGGAATTGCGCACCAGTAGATCATTTCCTTGGAATTGTTAGTCTACCTGCCTATCGATCCTCCATATCAGTTCCACTTGGACTTGCTCTACAAAAAATCTAAAATTGTATTCTGTTTTATTATTTATGTTTCTTTTGAGTTTGAGTTTGAGTTTTTGAAAAGAGGATCTTAAGACGCTGAGAAAAACAAAAAAAGAGAAACCAATCCTCAAAAAGGGAACTGTTCTGAATCTCCAAAAAATGTTTGATCCCAAATGCCTGTTTGAAATGTACTAACTTGTTCAGAATTGATAACAACAAAATACCACAAAAATGTAACGAATAATTATCAAAGAGGGTAAAAGCTCAATAAACGTGTCTATAGTAACCTGAATGCTTCTAATACACAATATGATGAGAAACTGTCTGTTGTAACATCTGTGTAACATGCACATCGGCAACATGAAAATGAGGAAGCAAGAAATCTGCAAACTGCGTACATGGCATGACTTGCGAAATTTGTACTTGGAATCAGGCAGATGATGCTGGCCAAGAAATCACATGCTTTAAACCCTGAAATAGCTCCTAATATTTACTTATAAATGCAGTAACCCCCCTAACCCTGCAGATGCCCCATGGCTCATCCGGTTGCCTAACTCAGAACTCAGATGACACTTCAGTATTCAGAATCAACATATTTTGTACTTTTCTGCTTATTCACTACATCGAACAAAATATGTATGTTTGTTATATCGAATAAAATATATCTTTGCTCCTACATAGATTAGCTTCAGCAAATTCACATACAGTTATACTTTTCGTTGAACTCTGTGTTATATTTCTATCGACACTTCCTCAGTGGAGGTGAGCCTCTGACATCTCATAACAATGGTCAGTTAGGCTCTGGTGTTTAAATGATGCTAGTCCTAACTACTAGCATGCTAGTTAGTACTAAGGGACCCAAAGTGTGCCAAAAAAAAAATATCACCAGCATCTTCACACCATCACCAGCCTGAACTGTTGATACAATGGAGCATGGATCCATATTTTCATAATGTTTACAGCAAACTCTGAACCTAACATCTGAATGTTTTGGCAGAAATCGAGACTTGTCACACCAGAATATCAAATTGTAGCCTCAGTTTCATATTGTTCAGCTGACGCTCAGAATTTTAGGTCCCATTTTGGGTCTGTAAAAATCTGGGTACCCAATAACTTCTTGAACTCTTCATATTTTCGCCTTGGACACAACTTTGTGTAAATGAAGTGAATAGAACAGTTTGTAGTGTTTAGTAATTAAATAAGGTAGGCAAAAATAAGAGTGTTTACCTTTCAGTGTTTACCTTTACTAAAGCAGTCAAGGCTTCATTGTTGTGTACATGCATGATCTGGTCAAAAAATATGAATCTCAGATTTGTTGTTTAGCCATGAGTTCTGTGATGTAGAGGCATTAAGGGGGCATGTAGTGGCCGATAAGTACTATTGCAGCGATTCTTCGCTACACATTTTCACCCAGGAAGCAAGAGTAAACAAAGATCAGGTATCGAATGGGACTACATCTACAGTGTCAGTGTACTGGTCCAGCGTTTGCTTACATCAGTGTAGCAAGAAGAGAGGCCTCAGGCAACTGGAAGCAACGATATGCTGCAATGCTTTAGGCACATCAGAATAAGAAGAACCCAATCTCAAAGATTTACTAGACAAAGAACTCAAATGTTTATGATTTCGGGATCTTGGTTTCATTGCTAGATATTTTTATTTATTTTGCATGCCGCACTTTTATTTTTCTAACAAATTTTCTAAGGGAAAAATAATATAAGGTGATGAAGTACCGTTACAGAAGCAGTGGATTTTCTTTCAAATGTTTTAGGTCAAATAAATCTAAATGAAGTAGTAATGCTCTAATACAGCAGCATTATATGATGCAATGTTATAATGAATTAAGCACAACAGAAAAACACAGTTTCAGCCCGACAGGTTCCACTATTACAAACAATTACTTCATCTGCATATATTAGTGAATACGACTAGTTTATATCTGAACACTAGGACAATTAATCTCACACATGATGTTGTATAAAATTAAAGGATTTTATTGGCCTGAAAAAGTCAAATAGGATTCGACACATTAATATGACAACAAATTTAAAGCATTTTTCTTCAGCAGTGACATAGGCTCTCAACACACAGCCGAAATGTTTGCATCCACAGACGACCTGCGTGCTGGCAGCAGTCGAGGTGGCGGGCTGCTATTACTGCCTGATCTTCAGCTCGCGATGCATCTGGCACCAAACGCACGGGTAACACCAGCACACTTTACAGCAGTCATCACAGAACGAGCCCTGCAGGATGGAGGAGAAGAAGCAGAAAGAGAGGATGAAGCAGCAGGAGTTACGGGGTCTCTGCAGGATTTCAGCTTCTTCACCTTACAATATAAAGCACTTTCAGGCCACTGCTGTTGTGATTTGGCGCTATATAAAAACAAATATTATTGTGCTGTCGTGGTTGCCACTGTGTAGGTACGGCACTGATTATTCTGAACTCAAACCAACATGAATAGTAACAGAAACATGCAGAGGAGGTTTTCCTGTGATTTCCAGACCGTAAATTTCACATCACAACATTCAACATTCATCTGTTTTTACTAACAATAAAGACGTAAATGAATGACGGCAGTCTCTTTCTCCTTATCTGCTAAAAGCTCCACTATATTCACTAACTATCAGCTTTTTGATGCTGGCAGGAACCTGCTACAGCTAACTGTTACAACAGGCTGGCGTCAGCACTGAGAGTAACATGTCCTTTAAAAATGCTGTGTGGAGCTGGAAACCAAATATCTGAGAGTTGCAGCCACATGTGCAGGTTCCTTCCCACATTTTATGCAATGAAGTTCATTTTAGAACCACATCTGAAATACACACATTCAATAATAAAGACCGATCTCAAGACTTTTACTATATTCTGAAAATATCATAACTTATTACTCCAAGCAGAAACCTCCAGGACTTTTAGGAAGTCTTAAAACTGCACCTCCTCCAGTGACCTCATCTATCTTTTAAATGTAGTTTGTAACAGTGTCCTCCATCTGAAAGCAGTCTTACAACAATGTTGTGGCGCTCTCTGATGGACCCACGGAGTAAGCAGGACACCACACCACAAACATCCAGCAGTGGCAGTGCGCAGCACCATCCATGTTTACTGGCTGCATCACACTGCATGCAGGGGAAACACCAAAAGCCACAGCAACCTTTGAGGAAAAACACGTACAGAGTTATTATATATATATATATATAATGTCCACGTTTCATATATAATAACTACGTTTTAAATCACAATGCAAACAACATAGATTTTTACTAACGCTGCCGTTTCAATCTGTTTTATAAAGACATGGAGAGTTCATTGTTTAGCACTTCTCCTTCTCCGTGCTGTCAGCTTGTCTGTTTCTTGTGCATCTTCCTCTTCTCATGTCTACATCATGTTTTGCATGGCTCATTGTACATTATGAAAGTTTCAGTGGCTATTTCTTCATATTTTGACTGCATGCTTTTGTTCCAGTTTCCAGTCAGTCAAATTGTCCTTTAATGCTCCTCTGTGAGAGTACCAAGGAAGCAGGGCAGCATTTCTTCTTTTGCTTGTCTACCTGCAGAAACACCTCCACCACAGCATTTATGTGTGTGGCATTATGAATGTTAACGCTAGTAGATTTTACAAGAAGTTTTCTAATGTCTCATGAATGTGATCACATCAAATGAAAAATCTTGTATCTTTTGTTTTATTGTCTTTGATTTTAAAAAAGTCACTTTGGGGAAAAAATTGATATGTTGTTTAAATCTTTTAATGTTCTTTTTTTCTTTTTTTTCAAACGTTTTACCTGTTTGTGAAAAAGGAAAGAAGATCTTAAAACATACATACAGAAATATAATAATCCATTAAAAAAAACATGTTGAAGAGCACAGTTACATATGTCCCTGTGTGACACTGTGACATGAAGGTCTCCACTGAGTTTGATCCACTTTAAATTTTGCACTGGTGTACCATTGGGATGTTTTTGGTATCCTCCAGGGGGAGCTATTTCAGCTTTCCCCGAGTGAAACCACAAAGAGACCAGATTAGATCAGTTTTAACATTTAAATTCCTTTTTAATTTAATTTTTAATTTTAATTCCCATTAAAGCAACTTAAACTTTGTTGCTCTATAATACTACTACCTGGACATTCTGGTGAGATAGTCTCATTGCTTGAAGAAATTCTTGAATATTTACTGACTTTAGACTCTCTGCTAAATGATTGCAAAGAAAGCCTGAAGCAAAGTCTAAGGAGACGGTTGATGCACTAATCGCTGCTGTTTGCAGAAATAGGTCGGTTGACTTACAGGTCTCCATATCAACACAACATTCACAAAGGCCGGTGGTCCACTGCCCAGCACTGGCAGTTGTCATCACCTGGGTGGGCTGCTGTCGGACAGCCATGGCTGGAGGAGATAAATCACAAATACAGATACAGATAACAGGATCTTTAGCTTCATGTAAAGCACTATGAAGACCTCAGACCAGAGGCACATTTTATTTATGTGCCATACAGACAAAAAAGTTCACTGTGCAAGAAACTGCTAAGAATGTACACACACACACACACACACACACACATATATATATATATACATATACACACACACAATACACATACTAAATTGAAGTTTTTGACTATTTAAAAATGCATTTTGCAGTAATAAAACCTGCTGTAATTGTGCACGTAGGTCTGAACTTTGATGCCAAAATTCAAATTCATGGCCGATCACTTCAGAAATAGCCAGAGCAGGTGAAGTAACCTCAGACCTCTCCACAAGATGGCGTGGAGAGGTCTGATGTGACTTGCTTAAAAACACAACTCACGCAAATTGAAAGCAGCATTTTGAGGAAGCCAGAAATGTAAAATGCTATATCAAAATTATATAACATATTAAATACCAGAAGAACACTTTTTCAAACACAGAAAGTAAAACAGATGTAAGCTGTCACTTCTACGGTGATGGATATTTTTATTTAGCATCCAGCCTAAGTGACATGCATCATTAAGTCCGCTTATTTTGTTACTGCAGTTGAAGTATAATAATAATATTAATAATGTATCCATCATTGCAGCTGCACGTCTTCCTGATAACACTTATACCAAAGTGTCATGAGTTCAAAGATTACTGACTCTTTTAAGCTGCTCGTTAGTATAAAATATCTGTCCTACCTTTTCTGCAGATCTCTGAGCTCTGTGTGGGAACAACTTAGTATCTAACTACAAATCAGGGAGTGAAAGAGGAATTGAAGCCTTTGAGCCTTTAATTTGAGCCTGAACAGAAACACATGGAAGACCAAAGTCAGGGGTTAAAAGTGGGACTGCGTGTTTTTGTTGTTTGTTTTGTTTTGTTTTTGCCACCACAAAGGAATGACGGCTGGTATCTGTAAGTTGCAG